TTATGAATGTCTCTCTGTGATTGCACTGCTATTACAGAATGTGAGTTTATAAACCAGGGTATTTTTAATTATGCAAAAGAAGAGCGCTTTCATGGTGCATTATTGTCAGTTCTTAGTGTTTCAATTTTTATATTACCAACATCCTCACTCCTAATTTCGAATCCACTGGTTGTCTCATTTCCAAATAAAAAAGAGGATCTGAAAAGGATTGTGATTATTCTGCTCTCCTTTCTCCCAATTTCCTGCTAATGTGAGACAACACAGATACCATGTGATTTCAGATATCACTTTGTTGAATCTGGAGTCCCAGTAGAAGATTGCTCTATGAATCCAATTGGATCTGATAGGGAAACTATAATCTGCATTATTATAATTATGGTCTGATCCAAAGAGTATATAATTCTTTTACCTGTCCACAAATACAGTGTGCACCAAATGCTATTGTTTATTTTTGATTGAGTACTGTTCTGAAAAAGCATAATTGTGAGATGACCATTGTGTACATCAATGATTTTCAAAACTGGCAACTTTAATGGGTGTGGTTAGTGTGGAAAGTCTAGGAGGACTTTCTCTCCTAGAATTAGCCAGGCAGCCCTGGTGGCTGAGGAATTCTGGGAATTGAGGTCCACACATTTTAAAGTTGCTGTGCCAAGTTTCAGAAACACTGTTACAGATGCTGCTGTCTAGTGCATGAAATCTTATTAGTGGAATCTTGTTTTAGGGTGCGTTTCAGGCTACATATCAGATATTAGCATAGTGAAATTTCTAGAGTGAAAATAATTTGAGCATAGAAGGGTCATAGTGTTGCATCAAAATAAGTAAAATCAAATTTAAAGACTAACATATTTTTACAGCATAAGCTTTTCCAAATTATATCCTCTATGGATTCTACTAACAAGCATTGTTCCAATTTGTTAATTTTTTAACATTCAAATATTGCTTAATCAAGAAATTACTCTGCCCTTTAAGTAACCCTGATCGAAAGATTAGATACAGTCTCTATCTTGTTATTAAGCCCAATTCCTCATTATACTAATCACCTTTTCTAATAAATGTCTACATTTGATAAACTTGTAAATGTGCATCTGTATGCAGGTAAATATGTACTTTTATATACTAGCCAGAGATCACAATTCCCAGAAAGGATAGGCAAATAAAAAAAGTGTAGTAAAATTTATTGTCTGCAAACAGGGCATGGGTTGTAAAGCTAATTGATTCCCAGATGTGATTAAAAGATATTTCCTCACACAACATATACACAAATAGACAACTTCACTGTATAACGATGAAGCTCAGCAAGCATAAATCCATTCTAATGAATTCACTAACTCTCACTCTTTTCAACACAAACCACTTGGTTTGTAATGTTTCTTTAAGCCAAAGGTGTGTATGGGGTGTTGCACTCTAAAAAAACCAGCACTCAATACCAACTATGCATATGTAATCTTTATAGTATAATATCTGTATTGTTTTAAAAGAATGCCTGGAAACTTTTCTCTCAATATGCTCGGTCTAAATACAAAGAGGTCCTTGAGTCAAACTTGACTTCTTGTGGATACATGGGGACTATTACACAATTTTATTGGAAAAAGTACAGAAAATATTTTGTTACAACCTTCATCCAGGGTTTTTCCAAATTAGTATTCACACTAGTTATATAGCCACTAGCCAATAACAATGTTTGGCCTATCTTTATTGAATTTTCTGAAAAATACTTCATTATAATACATTAAATAAAATATATCAAATTCTAGCAGTCATTTCCTGAACCCAATGGTTTTCTTGGACAACCTAGTCCTAGAAACACAAATAATTTGAGTCGGTATTTCTTTCCTGTTTTGGGGACCAAGTTAATTATTTTCTTTTTTAGCCAGAGTTTTGGCTACGTGTATGATTGAAAGTGTAACTCAAATTCCTTCATATTTTGCTGTGACAACTTATTTCCCTGCCCTCTCCCCGAATTGATTAGTTTGTTGAATCATTCATAAGAAGTGTTGTATTCTTGAATTTCATTATCTGCATTCACAACTAAATGTAAGCAAATGCAAGCTAAATGTATTTCTGTAATGAACAGAAATAACAAAGACCTGGACAAGTCAACAACAAACAAGGAGAATACTCTGTGTGTGTGTGTGTGTGTGTGTGTGTGTGTGTGTGTGTGTGTGTGTGTGTGTGTACATGAATAATATAGTATAGTGGAAAAACTAATCCATAAACTTCCCTGAAAAGAGTATCAACCACTTAATGTTAGGCTTGCTTTGTACATGGGAAGATTTTGAAGGCTTTGCCTTTTACAGATGAGGCTGAATCATACCTTGTGGATGGATTCTGGGTGCATCATTCTGCTTCATTTTTCTGTCTGCTGTATAACATTACACAGATTACACAGGTGACCTTAATGTTTCTCAGTAGCAAACTTTTGAGTACCCAGACTAGCAACATAGATGTTAAAAAGACAAAAAGAAATGGGCAGGTGGGCTTGAAGGGACTATATTCTGAATGTACACTACAATTAAAGTGTAATATTAATCTTTTACAGTTGAATTTAGGAGGTAAAGAGGAAGGAACATTTGAAAATCAGCTTTTAATAGCTCAAAAATAAGCCTATTTAATAGAGGAATCTCTAGCAAAATATGCTAGCATCCCAGAGGATAAGCTTTTATTTACTTTTCCTACACTTAAGGAGCCAGCCAGATATCCTTGCAGATAGCCGACAAGCCTGTAAAAAGCAGCTGCAAAATATAGTAAGTGTAGTATGAGGATATTTGGAATTCTATGTAGATACTAACATGGTTCACACATTTAGAGTCCATTTTTCTTCATAGAAATTTTGTTCCAGAAAAGTCTGATTGTTGATTTAGTAGAATAAAGGATTATCTGCTTAGTATGTCCATTATTAACTTCTAAATGTTTTTGATCTACACACATATTGTCCAAGCTCTCTAAAATTAAAAAAAGGACTTTTATTCTTTATTTTTTCAATTTAACCAAAGGTAAGATAGTGCAATTTAGTGTGGATGTTTGTGCTTCTTTAGTATAGTTCCAACCTTTTATTTTTAAAATAATCTCAAGTTACCTTCCAAGGCAACTGTGAAATATTCCCTAATGACTTCCAGAGAGCTTGTAAGTTATAATGCCACCACTTTGGTTGGTAGGCAGGTGTTATCTAAAGACAACAAATCATTTAATAAAAAAGTAGATGCAGGGCAAGCAATTGGAAAAATATGTAAAACAACTAGCATTTTAGAAACCTAATTTAAAAGGAAAATGAGGTGAATTTCCATGATAGAAAAAGTATAAACTTTTGGATATATAAATAAAATTTATGTATTGTATATACAAATTATATACAACCAAAAGTTAGGTCCCATAAGTCAATAATAATTTTTCCCAGAGAAATATTACTGTAAGTGTTTACAGGTAGTGCTCAACTTACAACCATGTTTTCAGCCACCAAAATTACAACGGTGAAGATTCAGGAAACAACAGCAAGGATTTGTTCACTCCTGAAAGGTTTTGGCAAGCATTTTCACCCAGCTGCTTTTTTCCCCAGTTACCCGCACCAACCTTTTGCTGTTTCCTTTTTGGATCCAGCTTTTCTGGCAAACATTTTGTAATTTCCTACTTCTTTTTTTTTCTTTCTGAAGACAGCGCTGTCTCCAAAAACAGGTAAGGAAAATTTAAAAAAATGGGAATGCTTCTATCCTCCAGCACATGGACTGTATTGATCTGCTAGTGTCATGGTTTTAAATATTTAATATAATGGTTATTAAGTAAAATGAATGTTTTTATTATTTGTAAACACAAAGAAACATTTCTAGATTAATATTTATTTTTAAACACACTGTACACTTTCCCTACATTTTATTTGATATAAAATGCTTCATTTTCTTGCAAGAGTGTAATTGGAAAAAAAGTAGTCTGCCAGGATAAAATAACTTCAGAATAATTTGGAAATTTGAGAGCTAAAATGAAGAAAATAATGAACTAGGATCTCAGATATTACAAATATTTTCTAGAGGATGGTAGTGTTGTTGGCAACATAACAGTGAAGAACTTTGCAACACCATAAAGATTAAGAAATTCATTATTCCTGAAATGTTTGTGGATCATATTTCATTTAAATAGGCATGTACAGTGGTTTAAGATCTGAGAAAGAATATTCTCATAAGGGAATGGTGAAGAACTGAAAAATAGTGTATGGCTTTCCTAAATTGTCAAGATAGTATCAGCATAAAAATTCTTGTTTTTCATTTAGTCATACATCCGATTGAATATATTTATGACTCAATATAAAAATGTTACCACGCCTAACTACTGCTTTGAAGTTATTTTTCCTCATTCTATTGCCCCTTTCACCATTTTCTTCTCTTCCCCACTTTGAAAATAGCAGTTACATCCCCTCCCTCCCCCCACCCCATACACACATTGTTTCTTGGGGCTATACAGTACTTTTCATTATTTGATACAGTGGGTTGAGATCCAGAACCGAGTGATCTAAATTTATGAAATTATAAATACGTGTCCTGTGGATGTGGAACATCTTACCCCCTAAGGTCAAATTGGCTTCCATCCTTCCGCAGGAGCCTGTAGACCTGGCTCTGCCAGATGGCTTGGGACCCTGTGGAGGGGCGGGCATCACATTGGAAGTGGTTGTTGACTTAAGGGGCAATCCCACTTTCCCCCTATCCCCGAGCCTCCCGTTTGATCATTGTCATTCACGAAATGATGGCACCACCATCTCCTAGAGTCGCATCACAACGCAAACCACCGAGAATTACAAATATCGATCGGTCACAATTCAACCCCGGCTTCGTCTCCCCGCCCGCAGCGTGGCGCATGCGTTTTTGTGGGAAAGCCTTCGCGTATTCCTCCCTCGCGCTCCTTTAACTTTTCCAGCCCTCAGTCCGCCCTTGCATCCCTGCTTCTCGGAACCAGTGACATCATGGCTCTGGGCACGCGCAGAATTGTGGGCCGGGAGGGAACCGCCATTTTCGGAGAGGAGAGGGGTGGGGCTAAGGCCGGTCAGTCAGGCTTTGGGAAGCCGGGAAGAAATTGTCTCCCGGCCGTGAGAAACACGGGAGGTAATAGGGGGGGCAACGGCGGTGCTGGGGTCGCCCCCGCCTTGTGATTGACAGCCCGGACTTTCCACCCGGGCGGTGAAGTCAGAGCAGGGGTGAGTATCGGCATGGGTCCCCGCCGCCTTCCTTAGCATCCTTTTCCCTTTCTTCGCCACCAAGGGAACCCGGCGGCCTGCCGCCCATCAAAAAATGCTGATCGCTCTTAAGGACTAAGCGGCCAAGGCGGTGGCAGCTGCGGACGCCAGCAGTAGGAAGAGCTCCGAGTGTGCGTGCGCGCGTGTGTGTAAGAATTGGGAGTAGATGAGAAGGAACAAAGTGTGGTGCTCACCAGTGGCAGCATCGAGAAGCGGGTCCTGTGGGGGAGTGGAGAGGTTCCTGGGTGGGCGATGGAAGAAGGGATGTCACACTGGGGCGTGTTGAGCGGAGCATCGGAGAAGATGAAGACCCAAAGGCGCTTTTTTTTTTTCAGGAGGCAATTGGACTTCCTCGAGGTTTCTTTTCTTTTCTTTGAAGACCTCTCTCATCCAAGAAGCTTTTTCAGCTCTGACAGGATAGTGGGGAATGGAAGGATTTATATTCCTTGCAAACAGCTGGTCATTTAGAGGGTCGTTTGAAGCATTTGGAGGTTTATCTGTGTCCTCAGGGTCATCTGAGTAGTGCTCCTGGTTCCTGTAATCTGCAATTTTTTTCCCTCTGGAAATCAAAGAAAAAAACAAAGTCCAGTTGCCTCCTGAAAAAAAGCACATGACCTGGATGACTGAGAATCTCTATAGAGGAGAAGATGATGAAAAATCAGATCTGGAAAAGGAATCGAAGATTCCCAGACACAGAGGACATAGGAAGCTGATAGCAATTCTATGTGTAAAGTGTCTTTCATTGCCAATTTGTCATTCTAGAAGAAAAGGCTGATTTAGGTGTCTCTAAGTGCTGGACTAATCTCTGAGGACAACAGCCATCCTTATTCTGCTGATGATGTTGCTCTTCCAAATGAAAAAAAAAAAAGCTAATTGAGGAAGGGAGATTGAAGAGGAAGGAACTAGTTGTAAGTTGGGGAAGTGTTTCTTTGACACCTCCCCTCCCCTCACTTGTGCTTACTGTCCTTCCCCTGCTTTCAACAATTTTATGTTGCAATTTGGGGCCTGACAACATCCAGGAATGGGGACATCTGGTCAAATAAAGAATGGTCCTTTGGATATTCGGATATGTATAGTTATGGACTATTTTTCTTCTGCATTAAAAAAAATCCTTTCAGGTTGGTTTTACATTTTTTTAAAGTTATTAAAAGCTTGCGTCTATTAGTCACAACTTCACATAACATAGATTCGTATGTAGATTTTTGATGTATATCATTATTGATATAATGCTACGAAAACATTGTTTTCTTGGCATATTTTTATTGGATAATTATTTTTTTACATTCTATACTTTACCTTTTTTTTCCCTTTAATAGATGGATATTTCTGGGGTTTGTGTGTTTGTTTGCTTTTTTCTGAAATGAGATCAGAAAAATTATAGTTCTGTTTTCCATTTTTCTGTGTTTTGAGTTTGTAGGCAGAGCCATCAGGTTTTTTTTTTCCAAAAGGCTTTTTATGGCTAGAAGATTTTGGTTGGGAAAAATGTAATAGCAAAGCTTATTATCTGTATGCAGTATGATGGATAATCTTGATAGGATTTCAGCTTATTTAATAATTTATAGAGCTAAATTTTTAATAGCTAAAACAAAGCTGCACCTTTTGCTTTAGGCTACTGATATATGAGTTTTAAAGAACTGTCTGGAAATATTTATTCCCTTTTGCAGTATGGTTTGGGTGGAGAAATTTAATGAAATTTAGGAAGGCTGTAGTGTAAGTCAAACTCAACTGCCTGATACCAACATAAAGCAAAAATTAAACTCAAAATTCCAATCTTGTATTCGCTTACCTGTGAGTAAATCATGTTGAATTTGGTGGTTAATATGTCTTAAGTAGGCATTTATACAAATAAGTTGTAAATGGAATTATGTTTTTCTGAACTAATTTTGAAACTATATATTAAATAAATAGTACAAGTATAAATGTTTTCTGAATAAATTTAAATAATGCAATATTATAGAAAATATCTTTTTCTAAAAATTGCCAACACAAGTCTGATAACAATTAAAAACTAAATTATGAGTCTTAGAATGAAAAAAAGAATCATGAACAGTAAAGGTCAAACAGTTTAATTAGGCAAAGTCTTAATATGTTATACACCAGCAACTGTATTGTAGCAAGCAAATTGCTGACCAGGAAAAATATCATGAGATGATATCAGGCTTGAAGCTAGGAATAGTGTGGTCCTAATGCATACCAATTTAGCAAAGTTTATATGCCAAAATTTAATGCAATCAATTTTAGGAAGTCAGGATTGAATAACATTTCTATATTATATTGCAGTAATCTATCTTCCATGCACCTGATAATAGGATTTATATATAGAATTAATATGACATTTTTGAAATTGCTAAATGGAGGTTGCATATGAAAGCATTAAAATAAATATCAACTGTAAAATATTAATATTATAACAATCATATCGTATTTGTGGTTTTTTTAAACGGAAAGAAAATGAAATATGGTTTAGAATAAGAAAGCTAAGAAAAATTGGGTCATTAGTTTTTCTAATGTTTGCAATGTCATATTAAATCTTTATATATGCAACAAGAAAATGGAACATTCTAACATTTTTTAAATGAAGATATTTATAAAATGAAGATCAGCATATAATATATAGTTGTATGTATAGTAGAAGCTTTTTAAAAAAATGTTGATTTCATTTTCTGCTTAAGGAGTTCCCCAAAAGGATCTAACCAAATTTGCGCCTACTTCTCTTTCCTTTTGTTTTTTATTTTATCTGTTTATTTCTCTTACTTCCCTCAGTGCCCTTGGGATGTTAGATTGTACCCTGTAATGCAGTGTCTGGCTTCTTATTGTAGGCTGAATTCCCTTTGGACATGTGGATTAGCGCAGCTACTCTTCTGGCTCCATTTCTTTGATCTGCTTCAAAGCCATGCTTTGATAGCTGCATTTTAATTTTAAATCTCAGCATACACAATGTGACAACATGGTTCCTATATATTTCAGGATTATTTTAATGACCAGAATGAGTAATTCACACATAAGGCAATAGGAATCAAAACTATCTGAAAGAGCTGTTTCAATTCCTCTCTTGAAGGGAGGAGAAAGGAAAATTGATCTTCAATTTTTAGAACTTATATAAAGTAAAATCTTTTTGCTTTAGATTGTTCTTAAGAGGATGAAGTGTTTATAAGCTTGATAATATATAGAGGAACTTGAGTAATGAAATATTTTAGAAAAATTGTTACCAGTTTATTTTCCATGTTTGATTACTGATGTGGAAATAAATGTTGATCATAGAAAATGTGGATTTGTTTTAGCTGCTTTTTTAAAACAACCTTAAAAAATGTTGCACAGCCAGTGATTCATTGGAAAATAATTTTTCCCCTTTCACTATTTTCAAATTATGTAATAAACATTCTAGTCTTTCTTGGAAAATACTGTAAGCTTGTATAATTGTAAGTAATATAAATAAGCTGTTTTAATTTAAAAGCTGGAAAAATTATAACTAGACAAAAATTGCAGCTAATGTATTGTAAAGGTTAGGAATGTAACATTTAAAGCTACTTTGTAAACAGCTTCTTTTCAGCCTGATAATATTTTTGTAATATTTAATACTGGCTACATAGATAATCCTAGACTTATGACCACAATTACACCCAAAATTTTTATTCTTAAATGAGACATTTGTTAAGTGAATTTTGCCTCATTTTATGACCTTTCTTGCCACTGTTGTTAAGTGAATCACTGAATTTAAGTTAATCACATGGTTATTAAGTGAATTTGGCTTCTCCATTGACTTTGCTTATCAGAAGGTTGCAAAAGGTGATCACAGGACCGCAGAATCCTGCAACTGTCATAAATATGAGTCAGTTGCCAACCGTCTGAATTTTGATCATGTGACTATGGGGATGCTGCAACGGTCATAAGTGTGAAAAATGGTCATAAGTCAGTTTTTCAGTGCTGTTGTAATTTTGAACGGTCATTAAAAAAACTATTGTAGGTCAAGGACTTTACAAGGCTGAATTTATTTAAGAAAATGTATATGGCTGCCCAACTCACTTTCACTGTATACAGCTTACAACAGTGATGGCTAACCTTTTCAGCTTGGTGTGTCGAAAATCGGGAAAAAATGTAGCCTTCCTCGGGTCGTGTGTCACTTCAAGAAATATCAGTAATTTGGTAATATTTGCAGCCCTAATAAAGAAAGAGTTATATTTTTAATATATTTATTATATTTATTAGTTCAAAAAGCTAAAAGTTTTGGAGATTTTTTTTGGAGGATTTGCATGGTGCTCTGTGAGGATGGTGAGAAGCAAGAACTGCAAGAGGTGCTATGGAGGCAATTAAAGCTTAGAGGAGCTGGAGAGGGGCTGAATGCTGCAGACTAGACATCCAAGCGTTTTACAGTGGGAGAGAAGAAGGGAGAGCCACAAAGACAGAAATGCAGATTTTAGTATTAATTGCACTTACAGGACAGCCACCCGATGCTGCTTATCGTGAGCACTGTGTCTGGTTGTTGTGGTGCAGTCCTCCTGCGATGTTTATGACGGACTGGGCTGGGGTGATCACACAGGGCTGTGAAACTCGTCTCCCTGGTCTCAGGGCTGCAGGTGCAGGATGTGGGGATCGAAAGGCCACCTTACAGGGCTGTGAACCTCATGGATCTCCTTTCCTCCTGTAGCGTTCCTGAGGTAATGAAACTGACAAACCTCAGTTTATGGTGGTTAAAACTGGTTCTCTGCTGCAAAGATCTCGCAGCAGCGGTGACACCACGCCTCCACGCAACAAGCAGGGAGCAGGGATTGGAGCAGAGCACAGGCAGCCTCTAAATGTGCAGGTTTTCCCCACACCAACAGGCGTGTCAGTCAAAGTGCCTCGGCATGTCACGAGTGACACGCGTGTCATAGGTTAGCCATCACTGGCTTACAAGAATAAAAACTCAATATTAAAAAAAACAATAAAAAAGCAATAATTCCCAGCCCTTCTGATGACAACAG